CCACCTCGATCTCCTCTGGAGACATCGTGCTCTCTGCCATTGACACATCTGAGTGACCTGAGAGGAAGACAAACAGAGGAAAAACAATGCAATAAAAGAAGACAGACCTACAAGACATTCTTGAACCATAGTTTTATTCACTCTGGACACTCCTTCACAGTTCAACCATGCCTGCTTGGTTTAAATTACAGAGAACAAGTACTACACATGGCTTACTTCCATTGGCCGCATCTAATTAAAGCTCTAAAATGTAAAATCCTCATTCCTTTGATTTGATGTCACATGTGCATTGGAAAGTTCACTCCTTTCGTTTCATCTTTGAAAACTTTCTCATACCGTCAGCTTCTTGGCAAACTCACTTCTCACCTCCTCTCGGTGTGACATGTCATATCACTGCACCCAAGAGCATGATATTTGGTGAGAAAGAGGTGTGGATAATTGAGTTAAGTGATCTGAAGTTTAAAATCAAAGCAGTGCTTCAGCCATAAATTACAGATTTTTTTTCTGAAAGCTCCCAATCACCCATAAGAAAGGAATTAACCAGGAATATATCACAAGTATTTTCCAAAGAGACAGAAAAAGCACTTTCAGCACGGACCGATGACCAGATGTGGCTTCTGGTTGATTTCTTCCCAAGCTGGAACTGACCTCACACTCCATCTCTGCCAGTAACATGCAGAAACATTGCAGCTACTATACAGACAAACCACTTATTGCACTCGTCAATGCACCGACCACAAAAATGCCGCAACACCTGATGAAGCGGCTCAGCATACGGACAACAGCATAAATCGAGCCAATATGGAAAACCTATGTTCTCTGTGTGTGACAGTGTTTAGCACTGTGGTGTGCTGATTCCCTCCTCAGAAGAGAAAGCCTGGTTCACCAAGGCTTTGACAAAGGGACCAATGAAGAACTTTACAAAGTTGCATTATGGGAAGTGTTGTACCTGGCTGAAGGGGAGCTCGGTGTAAAGTAAACAAAGGTATTTTTTTACTGCTAATTATGCAAAGCTACTCTAGTAGAATGAATGAATAAACATACTAAGCTGGAAAATACATAAAAGTATTGTTATGATAAAAATACTATTGCGTAAAAGTGTCTCAAAAGACAGTTATATAGTGTATCTTACTTGATCTTCTCATATGAATACTCACTTCTCCATATAGAAATTACAAGGATTCTAAGTGTCTGTCATTCCTTCTTCCCACTCAGGCTGTGAAGTGATGCCAGGACAACAGGACATAATGTCCAGTCTACAGATGCCACGTCACAATACACCTGATTAAACAGTTATTTGCGTCTATAACACACTCTGACGCATGATTTATTCAAAGTATGTACGGTAATATTAGAGGGTTGGGATCAGTCCTCCGTCCTCCTGCAGCAACACTAACTGCAGTGTGCGTTTGTGATACTTTTCATGGATGCTTGCTGAGGATGGAGCTGACTCACCACAGCAGACAGAAGTCTGCACAGGAGGGCGCACTTTGTTTGTGCCTTGCTGATGTTGAATCACCATCTGACACGTCTGCTGACAAAAGACGCAGTTGCGAAAGTTTGTATCAGCGAGATACGAACTAAAGTTTTACACGCGTTTCCTCTATCTCCTCTTTTTTTTTTTTTACTGTTTCTTGCTTTTTCCTCGCACGTTCCTCTGCCTCGCTTACAGCCACGTGTTCATCATCAATAACACCAAGCTGCATTAGGTCCTGACCAGACCATTAAAAGTGGCAAAGTGCCAGCTCAATAATGTCTTAACAGCTCTCTCTGAACCCGACATGCCGCTAACACCTACTGAGCACTAAAAACACTATAAGTAATTAAATGCTAATATAATTAAAAGTGGCGCTTTCCTCAGAGACAGGTAAGGTTGACAACAAAATCCAGCCAATGTAAACCACACCTGAACTACCCCAGTTTCACTAAAACTAACTGGCTCATTGGTGTACTTCAGGATTACGACTTAATGAGGCTAAAACAACCCTGAGAGTCAGGATCGTGTGTACTGCAGCAGCCACATGGGGTTTAACAACAGGGAAATGTCAGTGCCTGTATGACATCGAATGCAGACACCCCCTGACACATGCTGCAGTCACACTGTACACACTGCTGCTGGACCACACCCCCCTCCAGTGGGAAAAAAGAAGAAACAAAAAACAGATGGTGGGGACAAAATAGAAAGTGCAAGGCAAACATGTGTGCTATTTGCCTAATAGATGGACACAAACCTGCAGGGAGCTGCCTTTGTTGTACCTCTGTGTTGTTTTCTGCCTGTATGTTTGTCTTTGTAGCAGAAAGAAAACGAGAGCGCGAGAGAGCAATGGCTGGATCTGTTTCTAAAAATATCCTCTGCATTTTCTTCTCAGACTTAATCTGGAAGTTTCTTCACACACTATTCCCCTGTGATGATGATGACTGGAATCAGGAGGGACACTTCTGAAGTCTCTTATATTTCTCTAGCTTCGTCATTCAGCTACGTCACTAAAACACTTTTTATCACACGAGAACAGGAGAAAATAACAGAAACATCTAAGACGACGTAAACAAACTCTGTTTTTGCTGCTTTATGCCCATCCCGAAGCTTTGCGTTTGAATGATTTCATTTGATCATGACTGTGCATTAATATTGCCACAGGCACAAATCCAAATCAGCATTAAAACTAAATAACCATTTCATTTTATCATCTAACATGCGTGGTATTGACTAAAGATGAAATCCATTAGGCATGTGACATAAAAATAGATTAATCAATCATCTAACAACCATGAATGCCAAGCAAATATTTTATTGATTCTGGCTTTCCATGGGGAGGATTTTCCTCTTTTTTTCATATCACTTTAATTTGAATAGATTTTCATCAGTTGCTGAAGAAAAAAAAGCTCTCTGAAGAGGAGACAGAGCTCTGAGCTACTTCAGACACTACTTAATAAATGAGAGAGTGTGCATTTTATATGCAGCCTTGAATAGAACAAATAAGACAGGATCGTGTGATGTTGAATTTAATGTCTTGTTTGGCGTTTTTGCAGCTTATGCTCTATTATCACAACAACAAATTACCTTAATTTGTTGTTGTTATATTTATTATTGGTAGTTGTGAGTCTCACATACACAGCTACGCAAAATGAATCCCATGAATAATCACTGAAAGTGGGGAATAGAGTTAATAACATTTTTTAAAGCTGCCTCTTGAGCCCTTTCATATAGATATACGTACACTGATTAGAGCAGAGGAGCAGGGTGTTCACTCAGAGCTAGTGCTCCTGCTGCATCTTATCAGCTCACAATTAAATATCCACAAGTTTGCAAATGCGCTGCGTCCGAGACCTTTAGTGGTTAAAATTCATTAACAAAGGGCGCAATATGCTACCCAAGGTTTGCACATAAGGGACGTAATACGCTTTTTAGTACCAAGGCAGCGCTATTGATCCCATCCCAAACCTTTTGTGAGTCACGCTTTAACCATTTAAACTCTAAGTGCTGACTGGGCATCCTGACAGCGAAGCACACACTGAAGAAAAGCTGAGACCACAGCTGCCCGTTTCCCGCCACACACCTCCCGTTTTTGTCTTTATTCCCTTTTATTTTATTGTTTTTCGTTGACGACGCTCACCTTTGTCCGTTGTCCACGCCGTTTCCGACACAGCTCCGTAGCTCCTGAGCGCGCGCTCGGTGTCCGATATAGATTTCTTCAGTTCCATGTCGGTGGAGTGCACGCGCGCCGAAACCGAGAAACGATGTCGTTCTTCTGCGTCTCGTCTCTGAGTCTGTGCGACCTTTCAGATAAGTCAAATTTCACCCGGTGACAAGGCTCCAGGGACCCGAGACGTTGAGCATCTTTATTCGAGGTTTCAAGTCCTTCGACGTGTGGATGGAGAGGATGTAGAGAGCATGCGCAGTGCGGCCAGGAATGTAAAGGCTGGGAGACACCCACTATCACCGAGAACGCATTGAGAGAAGAGGGAAAAAAATAAATAAATAAATAAATAAAAGACACAACCTAATCTAAATATTTACCTATGTTTTATTTAGTAATTTAAATTTCATATATATACAATCATATATACAAATTTCTTTGTTTCTTCTTCCACTTATCCATCCATCCATTCACTTCCACTTATCAGTCTTTCGCAAATGCAGGCTTTCCGCTGAATTGAAGTGCGCGCGCATACACACTAGGAGATATATATATATATATATGTATGTATATATATATATATATATATATATATATATATATATATATATATAAACAACGCTGTCATTTTATTGAAATATTTTTATTATTTTGCTTTTTTAGCTATTTTGTTACTCGTTATGATGAACTTAGTGAACTGTTGTAATAAACCCGTTTCCCAACTTAAGGGATAAGTAAGGAAACGTTATCTGAAAACAATAGGCCTACTAATTTTCATAGTAAACATTAATGTTTTTGACGATTGTATTCAGTGTATTGCAAGCTAATAGTTTAATATTATATACTGTCTCTGGTGAGAGTGCTTCAACAGTCTGTCTCCTTAGGCTTTTCTTTGACTCACATGCATATAAAACTGACAAAGGTTAAGAAGCAGGTGTTTTCACACAGTTGGTCAGTTTGCTTTATGGAAAATCAGGCAAACGTCTTTTTGAACAATCTGTTACAAATTTAGAAACCACTTTAATGGAAAAAAGGAAGCTTCATTGTTTAAGTTTACTACCTTGTAAAACTGTGTACAAAGGCTATACAGTTCAATGAGTGGGAAGTGCTTTATATACAAGCTTTGATTCTCAAAATACCTGTAGTCCATCTAAATGGCAAGTAATCCATAGGAGGGATTTTCCTCTTGAACTCAAGGCAAAACAAACAAAAGGCACCTTTTGTGAAGAAAACTGTGAGGCTATTGACCATTGTTCTGTTGTAGGTACAAGAACAAGCTCATTAATGTCCATTTCATTTGTGTAGCTACAATGGTGTTCTCACTGTGCTCAGTAAAAAGAAAAAAATCCAACAATAAATGAATGACATTTTCTCGATTTATTCAACAATAAATATTATTACTATATTTCCAGCGGTTGGTGCAGAAGTAATTAGATGAGTTTTCACAGTCAACAGCAGCCATTTGTGCTCTGTGACAACAAAACCAGTAAAAACAGAAGGTTTTGACTTTGAAAAAATAGCATAGAAACAAAAGGAATATTCATTTCTTGGACATTTCAGCTCCAGGGTATCAGCACACATACAGTCATGAAATCGGAAGTTATTATTAAGAAACATACACTCCAATTTCTGATAAAAGATACAGTAGTGATTAAAATGTTTTTCTTTACCTCAGATCCAGCAGTGCTTCATATATTAATATGTTATTAACAGCACTAATTTCGTCTTGTGAGACAGATGAAATGTTATAGCCACACACACTCAGAATGAGTATGTAATCGCAAACTATATTTTAGGCTCAAACGTACCAAAAAAGCTCTCCATAAATTCCAGTAGTACATGGAAACAGAAAGAAAAAGTTAATTATCTGTGTGAAACAGAAAAGAGAAGTATGCCATTAAAGTCTATATATAACATAACAAACTGCTGTACTCTAGCTGCACTCGATTTATAAAAGCCAGAGGCGTGTGATTTAACATTTTTTTATGCAGGCAAGTTCTATAAAGTATCTATAAAGTAATATTTATAGAGATGGTTGAGCCCATGCGATGGTATAATATTAACAAAGGTTACAAAAACAGGCAGGCAACATTTCTTCCTTTCAAGTAAATGGATGTTTGAGACAAGCTTTCCCAGATTTTATTAGACCAACACGGCATAACCTTTAACTTTCTCAGTACTGCATATTAAATAGTGAAATGACGATGACTGAAAATGTGCAAATCAAAACTGTGTTTTCAGATCTGCTTACATTTTTCTTGTGCTTGAATGGATTCATACTGTGCACTCAGTTCATTAGCGTTCTTATGTAAAAATGACCCACCTATAAATTGATAATACAAACATATAAAACAATATCACATATTGTTGGTACTAGAGGTGTCATGATAGATGTTATTCATAATAACAGTGATATTTAAAACTGAAATTATGATAATTTTGTAGTTGTTATTAGTTTCATGTTTGTACAGCTATTCCTACAGACTTTCTTGTTGCTTTAGTTTTATTTTTGTTGATGTTTTTTATGGATTTTGTAATAATATCAGTGAATTATTTTGACCATGAAAATCATTTGAGGTAAAAATCGTACATTGTGACAATCCTAACTGGTACCTGGGTATGTCTGTATTCGATACATCATATACTAAAATGTAAACTGGAAACATTTGGGATATTTCTTAGCGATCAGGCACTCTTTCAGCCAAAGATGAAAGGTTAAGCTGAGATTTAAATGTTTAAAATGTGACTCAAATCATCATTAATTAAAATTCTAAGCTAATAAATTAGCTCCCAGTGTCCACATGGTGGAAATCGTTTGTACACTATTCCGTTTTTCACTTTGATGCAAATCAAGCAAATCAAGTTAATTTTTTTTTAAAAAAAGGACCTTACTTGTGGAACAAACACAAGATGGCATTAATAAAAATGAACAAAAGAGCCAATGGTCATAGTCACTGTGGTATGGAAGGATAGATCTTAATGTTTTCCCACAGAGCTAATATACTGCATAAATAATAAAAATATTCCGCATATACATTCAAGATGCTGGAGTTTTTTTCAGCACTTTCTCTCTTATCTCACCGAGTCTTTGACCTGTGACCTTGGCAGTGTTAGTGTAACATCAGCTGGGTTAGACCGCAGTCCACTAGTCCAGCTGACGTTTTGTCACCTTCCATAAAAACGACTGACTCTGCTACTGTGTGGGTTTACATAGTCATGCCCCTTTGCTGGGGGCATCCACCTTGTCTTTCTCTTTAGTGTATTCGGCATCATCGTCTTTATGAGGGAACATCCACGCCAGCGCAGCACCAGCTGTGCCGTCACCGGTCTGACGTGAGAAGCACAAGAAAGTGGCCCAGATGAAGGCACAGCAGCCAGTGAAGGTGGTCCGCACATACAGAGGCACCAAGGCAAAGTTCAGAAACTGAGAGAAATTGAGATAACAGCATATCGTCATCACTATTATGTCATAAATGTCTACTGATTGCTATTTAACACAGTGGTATAGATAGCAACTGGAGGGTAAAAGGTGTGGACAATGACCCAATACAGTACGTAAGAAACACAGAAAAACACTTCCCCAGATACGTATTTAGCATTTATTTTTTTTAGCCTTTATTGGATAGAGAGGGTGTAGATAGACAGTAAAGCGGGGAGAGAGAGCGGGGAAGACATGCAGCTAAGGGCTAAGGGTTTGATTCAAACCCGGTCCTACTGCTCTCTGGTCATACGGCATATCGTCGCTTGCTCACCCACTGAGCCCACCGCCGTTTTTGAAGGTGAGATTGATTTTTGTGATACTACAGGATATTTTATTTCTGTTTTTACTTCATAGTTTCATAGTAATAAACTATCATTTTACAATCCTGTGTTTTGATTCATGCTTCTGCTGCTAATGCAGTACAAAAACTGTAACTTTATTGTGGTATTTGACTTAGGTTTCTTCTCTGGTTTTCATGGAGTTTTTTGGATGCCCATTTAGCTGGGTTTCTGTTTAAGTTTCAGTTTCTACTTTGAGTTTATTACTTGTGCCAAGTGTCTTCAGTGATTCCCCTCTCAGTTCTCTCCTTTCCTTCATCCTTTAATGCTAATGCATTTGTCCTCCAAGTTCCCTCGTCTCTGTCTTCGTGTTTAGTGTGAGCCTTCATTTCTCCACATTTACCATTTTGTCTTTTGGTTATTTCTTAAGCTTGGTTTTTCTTCATGTGTTACTTCCTACCTTGGCATTGTCCTTATTTTTTGTTATGTCTAAACCTGAACCTTCATGTGCCCCTTGCTCTGATGATCTCACTGTATGGACTTTGATTTCTGATGGTATCTGTTTTTGGTCTTTTCTTGATGAAAATAGTTCAAATGTAGCAAAGCAGATCATTGAATCAGAGTCAGAATACTGTTTCCCAGAGAAAAATATGTGGTCACAGTTGCTCCAAGACAGTAACAAAAGTTACTAACTAAATTAACATAAATAATGCAATACATTACAAAGTTACAACAAAAATAGCTGTAATACATACAAATAGCTCTAATTATAAATAACTAGTACATTACACAAAATTAAATGCTTTTGGTTGACATTGAGCTGTCCCTCTTATTATACTGTACTTACTCAGAATATGTAACATTTTAAATAAATGATGCTCAGGTCACTTTGTTTAGCCACTAAAAAATGTGTTGTTTTTATATATACCCTTCATCCCTGAACTTTATTGCACAATTACTCTACATAGCTTCACCCAATTATATTAATGGACATAAGCTGATGATGATGATGCTGATATTTACCTGCATGAATGGCCAGAACATTAGCCCTGTCTGAGAAGAGAGATACAAACAAAGCACAAAATAAGAACTAGAAAACATAATCAGAAGAGCACCTAATAAACGGTTTGTACCAATAAAACTGCGGATGTTTGGGATTTGAGCACTCAACACATTGGACTCTTCTGCTTTGAAACAGGTACTGTTAACTGTCACGACTTTAGAAAACAACAGCCTGTGTCTATGACTCACCTTATAAGTATTCAGGAATTTTTCTCTCCAGTCTTCCAAGATGTCTTCTTTGCCCTCCAAGAAACTGACACCTGGAGGCACATGAGATTTGACTGATTTATAAGATCAATGCAGTTTGTACAGTATAAACATATTAAATAATCATGTCATGTTTTTTGAAGATCTTGATAAACATATAGCCACATTTGAAACAAAAATTAGTACAATAACCCAGTGTACACTGTTTTCCACTATCATTATGGAGTTTATGAAGCGTATGTGTAAGTTCAATAAGGATCTGTAATCACTTATCTGCCTGCCTCCGTGAGTGTCCAGCTGCTTTTCTGTTTTCTACACGGCTACCGCTTCCCTGTACCGTCAATCTCAATACTGACGTCATTACTCTAGTCCAATCATTTTCTCACCCGCCTTCTTTTTGCCAATCAGCCTCTGCTTTGCATGTTTTAAATCTCTGTTCCCACAGACCCCACCTCTACCCCATCTTGTTTAAACCCCTCAGCCAGAACTCTATTAAAGCTTCTGTATTCATTTTCACCACCAGCAGCGTTTAGACTCCGGGGCATGCTGTCCTAAATCATATCTCCGCTGGGATTTCATTCTGGCATGATGGGTCATCTGAGTCTAATCCCCAAATACATTAATTTCTGTATCTCAATTTTTAAGGATTCAACTGTTTCCACATTTGAAGTGAGTCAAATAGGTCCATGTTAGGTCGTTTAAGTGTTTAACTAAACGTGCTGGTCTGGCTTCAAAAAATCCATCCATCTCCATTTCTGAATAAATTCTTTAATCTGTCTTGCATGTATTGGTTATTATTCCCTAACAAAAAAGGGAAAATATTAATTTTACTATACTATCTTGATTCTAGTTAATTTTCAATTTAACTTTCAATAGTTTATGTCCAAAACCGATTATTCCACTTTCAACATTTAAGGTTATAGTTATAAAATCTGTAGTTTTTTTGAGCAGTAGAAGCAATTTTAGAGAAGAAGTTACAAAAGAAAGGTTTTGTGACAGACTGCAATAACAAGTTCTGATAAATTTATACCAGCAATATTGCTGTATATTGTTATGATTGTATCTGAGTGGACTGGAGCCTTACTGACACTTCTGGACCTCATGAAAGAACAAGCTACACAATAACTTATTGTGAAAATACTGCCCGAGTCCACAACAACTTTTGCTCAGCAGTAATGAATACTGTAAAACAACTGAGCTGCTCTGCTCTGCTGAATAAAACCATTTCTACGGTACCCCCCAAAAAATCTATTCCCCCTGCATTATGTCTCGACATCAGCACATACTGGGGAACATAACTACTAAAATCAGGGTTTTTTTTGGTTTGTAATGAGCCATTCTAGGGGAGTGACTACATAGAAGATCTCAAATGGTCTGCATGTTAAAGAAAATTCTAATCAGTTTCCTGTTATTTTTAGTCATTTGATGAACAAAAATGTATTTTGCAAGGAAAATTACAACCCGCTTATAATCTTATTTGTACATTCTGGAGGATTTCTTTTGAGCTCTGGATGAATAATAAAAATCTAATTAAATCTAGCAAAAAAAGTATGCAATTCTGATTTCATTTTTGTATTATTTTCAGTATTTGTTTTCCATTTAATCTGACTTGGCTCTCCTTTTCTGCTTGCTTTCTAAGTCTTTGTTCATCCGATTATTTTAATTAAATGTTATTTAAGTCTTTGACTCGACTCTCAAAGCTGTAATCATAAGCTTTGACAGCAGATATGTCTGCTGTCTAGGATTGAGGTCCCTTTGTGATCCGGGTTCTGATAGGGAGGGATTTTATCACTTCCCATCTAAAGTAAACCACTGTAATGAAGCAATTTCTGCTGGCAGTATCAGTCGTAGTCCGCCCAGTTAGTGGTAATAATCCACTCCTTCATGTCTTTCACTTGACCTCTGCTCGTCTGTGTCACGAGACAAGGAACGAGTGGTGATATTACGCCACATGAAAGGAGCACAGAGAGGGCATGGGTCTGATTACAAATGGACAGAGAGGCGATCAGCTGTGAGATGAACCATTAACCGAAATCCTCCAGCCTGTGCCTCCCACAGCCCACCGACCTGTGTAGAAGACACTGGTGGCGAGGGGCGCCGCCGTCGTCTGGTCCAGGAACAGCTTCCTCATCACCATCCCGATAGAGTTCCCGGGAAATCTCCTCTCCAGGAAACGCATCCAGAAGAAATTGAAGTTGCCATGGAAACTAAACGCGACCACCGCGACGTTCCGTGTTTGTCTCCACTCGATGGTCTCCCTCCCGGAGAACCACTGGTGGACGAAGTCCCCCCCGGCGAACAGGCAGCCGTACAGTGTCACGTTGGTAACCCACGGAAAGCGACGGGCATGTCTTAAAAACAGCTTTAGCATTATTTTTAGCTGCCGTTACCCCGTGAAGTGAAAATAAAAACCTATTTCAAGTCCTTTTAACCACAAAACGACTGACTGTGATGTGCTAGCTAAACGCGTATACTTTAACAGTCACACACGGGTCTTCACTCTCTCCACATCACAGTATTCACCTACCACCGAGTCTTTACGTTTCTCGTGTAATTTACGCTATAAAAACACAAAATCATAGCTAAGATACTTGCTTGGCAAACACCATACAGCTGTAACCGGCACTGGACTGACAGCCGGCGCAAAGGTAGCTTCCTTCTGCTTAAATTTACTACGCCCCCTTTTTTACGTGAAAAACAGAAGCAGCGTTGAAGGGGCGGGGCTGGAACGTCCAGAGGAATATGTCCGCTTCACCGCGAGGATCTTACCTCAAGTGACGCTTTTATATGGGCAGAAATCTGTGCCATCAGAAACTGAACAACAAGAAGATTTGCAGGAACCTGGTCATGTAGGGATTTCTAGGTTTTAAAATGATAATGGAATGTACTGATTTGCATCTAGAGCACAGACACACACATTTTATCTAATAAAACACATTGACACTTTCTACAAATGGCATTTGAGCAAACTGTTGCAAATTATCAACCAAAAATGTATTTTTCGATCTGAACAATGCGAGCATTCAAAACAGATTTCCTCATTCACATTTATTTCTCAACAAATACAGCATGTTCACAAGTTCCAACAATTTACACTGAATTTATCAAGCACCTTAAAAGACAACTGATGAAAAGGCCATGAATGAAATTTTTATCAGGCAAAACTAGTAAAACCGCATTTTCTTTAATTAAAAAACAATCCATAACATCCACACTGCAGAATACCATACACATGTACACATGCAGTTTGTAAAACAAACATATTCTTAGCCAGGTCTGCAAAAGAATATAGTTTATGATAAAATATCTTTTACATGGTAGATGTGTTTTTAGTCAAAAAATAAACTTTAACTATTACACAATGAAGAATTTAATTGTTCATCAAAATACATGATAGAAATTGTTGCTGCACATCGATTTCTTAACTTTTATATGTCTACTGTCTTCTGGCTTTGGGAGAGGAGGTAATCAATCAGAGCTGTGTCACATCTGAAACTGATTCTAACACTTGACTAATACTGGACCCATGATGTGGAAAAGGTCAGCACTTGGACACCTGGTGAAACACTGTAAATGATTTCCTTTAAAAAGGGAAAACAGAGAAGCAGTAGGACCTTATCCTGAACTTGCTGCAGAAAAGCACACTTCGTATGAAGTCCTGAAAGTGAGAAAAACTATTAGAGGCACGAACAAAGACACTGCCTCTACTCATTCCACTGGACCAGCCAGATGAGTCAGGTAAGCAATTCAACAGATACATGTTCAAGTAAAGTAAACTCCATTTTAAGACACAATAAACACAGAACAGAAATCAGGTGAGAGGGTCACAGTGCATCCCACTGAGCTGAGAGACAAAAAAAGTCAGCTACTGGGTTAAGGTTCAGCAAGAAAAGAGTTGGACTCTATGACTGGACAACCCTCTCCCAGTCCCCAGTCTCCGTCCTGTGGTAGAACTGTGGTTGACCCCCTGGAAACAGGCTTTCAGAGTTGGGGTGGTCTAAAAGGAATTGAATAGTGGACTTCATATGCTGGACAAAGTGCGGTGGCTCAGCCCTCGGAGAGGTGGACAGGTACTAAATAAGAGGACGAAATACCAAAGTCATAGTCTGTTTTAAATACTCACAAAAAAAGCTTCTTGTCATTGGTTAACAACCAAAGACAATAACTTCCAATAACGTTACCTTTAAAATTGTGTCGTCATTCTGTGACAACCAGAAGGCAATATCCAGATTCTGAGACCATGTGCACGGGCCGATTTGAAAAAGTCCCCGACTCGAGTCATATATGTTAACCATCTGCAAGGGATGATTATTTTAATTGGTATGTTTCAGTTTTTTGCCAGCAAAAAACAAAAACTAAACATAAAAGTAACAACAATTTCAAGATCCCAGATCCGTTATCCATTAAAACACAGACTTGTGAAAACATTTTTAAGTCACTTCAGTAAGTACTGGAAGTCAGAAAAAAAAAAAAAAAATCAGTGATGATGTAATCTGAGGATCTCTTTCAAAATTAACAGACTGATTAAATAAGAGGTAGACAACTGAAAATTGTGTATAGCCAAACATGCATTTTTCTCTCAAAAAAAATCTCATCATGTCATGTTTGCAGAGCACCTCTCCTCCCGTGAAGGTCCGTGCTGATCGCAGCTCCTCTGCAGGGCCTTTATGAGGGAAGGAGGCGGGGTAAACGTCCCCTGTTTTAACATCTACACCTGTTCAGAAACAAAGTCACAACATATTAAAGGCTGAATACCACGAAAGCACTGGATCCTGTTCTGTAACGGTATCACTTACCAATTCCATATACTACAGGTCTGTGAGTTCCATTAACAACCACATCGTTCATTTCTACAACAGCGAATCGAAGGCACGATTAGAGCAAAGGTTTTGTTTTGACAGGTGTATCTAAACAGTCTTCAGCAGTTAAAACAAACATCAAAGTTACCTGTGATACAGCATGTTTCCAGATGAATATCCTCCTTCTGTACCTGGAATGCTGCTGTGAAGTGATAAAAAGCCATTTAAGTTATGCTGCTGCGTTACACTGCAGTCCAACATGAAGTAAGTTTGTAAGGTTATACCCAGTATATCAAGGCTGAGGTTATGGGATGTTGTTGAGTCGTCATTGAATCCGCCGACAAGATGGAGCTCAAGTCTGCATATTGGAAAGGAGAGGAGAAATGTAAATTAATTAATTAATTAGTTGAATAATCTGGAATTTTACTGCTTTTTTTATGTGTGTGTCATACCTGCCCTCCTTACAAGCATCACTCAGTGATGTCACCGCTTTCACGAGGAGTGGTACTTCAGACCAAGTGCTGGAACCGTCACAATGACCTAGGCAAACTGCTCCACTTCCTAAGAAATAATGAAACGTAATTGTTAACCACAAATTCAATATACAGTTTCCTTTTATAATGCCTTAGCACAAATGTATTTGTATAGCGCTTTACTAGTCCCTAAGGACCCCAAAGCGCTTTACACATTCAGTCATCCACCCATTCACACACACTGGTGATGGCAAGCTACATTGTAGCCACAGCTGCCCTGGGGCGCACTGACAGAGGCGAGGCTGCCGGACACTGGCGACACTGGCGCCACCGGGCCCTCTGACCACCACCAGTAGGCAACGGGTGAAGTGTCTTGCCCAAGGACACAACAACCGAGACTGTTGGAGCCGGGGCTCGAACCGGCAACCTTCCGATTACAAGACGAACGCCCAACTCTTGAGCCACGATCGCCCCAAATATGGTAAAGGATTTCTCACCAGTGTGCCGCAGCACAACCAAATGGCAGGTTGTGGCATCATCAGATCCAATGACTGAAACGCATTCTGTTAAAAATAAGACAACAAAGCATGTTACTGTTATAGTGCAGTACATGATCTGGAAGACCAAGTAAACATGCTGAAGTGCTGAATTTTATACCAAATAGTCCATAAATAAATAAAAGCAGAGTGACGCTTAGAATAATTCTTGATCCAAAAGCTATTCAGTGGTCAGACTTCATCACACACTATTAAGGTTTCTGTTGTTGGCTGAATGCCTTGTAGAACAACAAGTTTGAACAACAAGCAACCAATCAACATGATGGAGCCAAGAGTTTTCACACTTGAGGTTGAGCAGCAATGGCAAAAAGTAACCCCAACGATTTCTTTACCTAGCTTGATGATGAGGTGGAACTGTCACTGAAAGTAATTCATGAATATAAGGCAGAAAACATAGACTGGGATTTATTCCATATACTGCTACATATTAGAGTGGGTACCAGGCACGTTATCCATCCATCACTTTAACGCTTTGGCAATTAAAGTAAAGTGCAGACACAAGCGGAGTAAAATTACAAAATGTGTGAGAGCTTAGCTGCAAGTCTTCGGCTTCATTTTTGTAACTGATATGACAAAACTGGTAAGTGAAAATGTCTATGTCTTCTTTTTCAGTAGCCTCTGTTTCTGCCTGCCAAAACATAACCCTTGAGTTTTCAAGCTAAAATTGGTTCAACAGCATCTCCACCCATCTCTGTTATGTGGGCCCTAAAAGATCAAAGCTGTGTGAGGGTAAGGTGTAGACATAATGAAAGTCTTATGTATCAGTGTGTATACAGCCTTGCGATGAGGTCATCTGGTTCCAGTATTTTGTTTTACTCACTGTCTGCTGGTGTTGTTGCAGCAAACTCCCTCTGATGGACATACAGGAGGCACTTTGGATCAACATCAACAAGCGGCTTAGACCGAAATGCTTTTGCCTTTTCCTGTGACATGAAAACAAAATAGTTAAATGGTTCAAAGTGATAAAACAAAGAAAACAACACAAACTGATTTAGTATTTGACTCGGATATTTTTTCTGATCCTGACTCGTAAAGCTGGATCAATTATTGGGGACGACGGGATGCGGGCCAGCAGGTTTACAGGGGGTTACTAGTAGTTATGTTCGGTGAAACTTTAGTTGGGTAGTTTTATTGCACTTCCTGCAACAATTTGCAATTTTCAGCAACTTAATATTATTTCACTTTTCCTCTCACTGTCTGCTCCACTCTCACAGTATGACTGAGAGACACAATAGTGTGACCATAAACAAAAGCAAGGTGCAGTGAAGACTCTCTCACTGAGCTGAAATGAGACCAGTGCAATAAACCAAGTGAATAATTTTTTAATTATTATTTTTCATTTATCTTGTTATTTTATTTATCTTTCAACTTCCCCTTACCAAAAAACAAAAAACAACTAACTAATGACATACAGTTAAAGAAGATTTGAAGACTAGATTACCAAAATAAAGGAACAAAGCTAGAAGGCTAGAATGAATCTTATTCTGAGCTAAGCGCAGGTATCCTACCGATCTCGAGGATTTGCGATGGAATTGAGATTTGGCAAAGCGACATTTATGTGTAAAGTATTTGTTTATGTGGATGTTACTGTTATTGAGGGTTTGAATCTTTTTCATGTTCGTTATTAGTCCATACTGGATATCTATAGCTATAAACGGAATCTATATTTAAGGTACCTGAAACGTAGTCGTAGTGCAGTTCTATAAATCATTCCTGTGTAACTTATTAGGTTTGGTTTTTTGCTTCATGCACAGATTTACAACCACTGACACTTACTTGGTTACTTTAGAGACAGTTAAATCTGTTATGTTAGTAAATTATCAACAGCGATTTTGTTA